ATAGTTAGTTTAGTTGTTAGAATTGCTTCTCTAATTTGATGAAACCTGGTTACCATAATTTCTGCTTCTGAAATGTAGATTCTGTGGTGTGAATAGTTTAAATAATACAAAATGTAGGTCCATTTGACTATTTGACTAGTTCACCCCTTGAGAGATGAAAGGAATTTAGTGACTCTATATATAATACTTTGAGTATTTTTGGAAGAATAGGAAATATAATGATATTGGCTGCTTGTCATTTGCATCTTCACACAAACTACTGAAAAAAATACATGGACAATCTAAGGGCTTCTAAATGTGAAGACAAAATAATAAGAAAAATAAGGAGCTCAGAGATTCAAATTCTCAGCACCATACATTCATAAAGAATCACAGGTTTCTAAGTGTCTCCTGAAGAAGAATCTTCTCTCCTTTTGTCATAAAGCTGCCGAAAACTAAACACAAGCCCTCATAATTCAATTAGCAGAGTTACAGAAGTTTAATGCTCAGTTTTGAAGGGTATCTAAAGTTCAAATGAGAGCGCTGATCCAAAAATAATGGGATCTGATAAGTTGGGTTGGAGATGTTTGAGAGGAAACTGATGAGCCTGGGGGCATTAAATCCTAAATTTGATGAGGTTGTTTTGCCAGAAGAAAAGATTTCCCCACCCTCATTGGCAAAGGCATCCCTACCCCAACCCCTTTGGTCTCAACCTTATTTTCTGTACCAAAGGAAACTAATCCTATGTTGTCTATAGAAACAGTAATAACCTTCCCTGATGCAGCTGTCAAGCAAAACAATGCCTCAGAACCCACCCTCATTTTTTACTTTTTCTTCTAAGCCTATAATTTAGCTCAAACCTCAGGAGGCTTTGAGGAAGGTAAACAACATGACCCTTGAGAAGGTTTACTATATTCTCAGAGAACATTTTAGGTTTTCTAATTTTTACAAGCAGAAGTCTGAGGAACAAATATGGGAATGGATGTTAACAGTGTGAGATAACACCTTCATAGACATAAATCTAAAAGATATCTGTAGACACAGATAAGGAATAAGCAGACATAGATCAAACTGAGTTTCTTGACATAAAACAATTAAGTAGAATTTTGAACTTAATGGAACAGCTTATAGAGTCATTATGTTCCCAAAACTGAAGTAGAAAGGCTGCTAAATTTTAACTGGATTTATATAAACAGAGAAAATTTAGGTCAAATGTATAAAAAGTCTAACTCAAATCCTAGTAACAGAGAATTACAAGCCTGTGAACAATTCCTATACTTGAGTCAGTTTATAGATGGAGAGCCCCTTGAATGCTGGAGAGCCTGGGTCTCCTGGAGAAAGAAGCCTGATATTCTACCAAAAAGTTATACTTTCAATCTTTCTCCTATTCTTACCCAAAGGGACCCAATGCTTTTACCAGGGTAACTACACTGGTAAGAAGGAGTTTATTAGCGATTTTGGAGACCATAGGATACTGAGTGTGAACTATTGCTGATTCTGGAAAATCAAAAACTTCACTGCAGCCAATCAGTAAAAATACAGCCCTACAGAGGTCAAGTGATCCCTGGAATTTTAGCCAAGGTCTGACTCCAATAAGTCCCCAAATCCAGTCTGTAATTGTTTTCCCAGTTCCAGATTGCATAAGTGGGGTAGATATACTTAATATTTAACAGAAGTCACACATTGGCTCCCTAGTTTGTAATGTAAGGGATATTTTGTGGGAAAGGTCAATGAAAGTGATTAAAATTGTAAATTGTAAAATTGATTAAAATAGTAAAGTAAAAACAATAGTACATCCCTGGAAGAATTGCAGAGATTAGTGCCTTGGTGAAAGTCTTGAAAGATGAAAGGCTGGTGATTCTAGCACATATCCATTTAAATATCCTATTTGTGCAGAAGACTGATGTATCTTGGAGAATAATGGTGGGTTACCATCAGCTTAATCAAGTGGGGGTTCTAATTGTAACTGGTATTCTAAGTGTAATTTCCTTGATTTTATGGATTAAGACACAAGGTAAACCTCTAAAATGGACATTAAGCATGAGGATATTTCTCCTCTTAGCTAAATTCTTAAAAGGATTCCACCACAGAATAGACTCAGTAGTTAGATATACAAATGAATTGTGATGTAGATATTTGTTAACTAGAATTCCTTCCATGGATTATGGGCAATGTAATCATAACAATAAGGGAAAGAGGGGATTCATGACTTCACATTGTATCTGAACCATTGTAGAAATACCATTGGCCAGATGGCAACCTTTCTCCAAGTAACTAGTCAGTCAGTTTCCACCCTGACCATGTTGAAACTCATCTATCAGGGATTAGGTCCTCACTGAGATACTTACTCTAGGTATGAATTTGCCTTTCACATTTTCAATTCTTCTGCCAGTATTACCATTCATATTTTTTTAAAATGTTATTAGTCATCATCGTATATCATATAATTATTTTTACTAAGAAACTTATTTCAGTGCCCCCAAAAGTGAATAGAATCATATCTATGCATTTCATTCAGTTCACAACATAATCTCAGCACCCCAAACAACCTGATACAATGGAATGAAATGTTACTTAGTGAATGACCTAGAGGGTCAACAGTACACAGCAAAGTTGGGGTGTTTCTCTGTAGTGTGTGATGTGCCCTTTGAGCTAGAACATAGTATGTATTATTATTTCACCTATAATCGAGGAACAACAGCAGTTCTTGTACTGTACATAATATAGGATTTTTCTTCTTTTCAGGCAACTTTTGTCTGTCCAGTTATAGAGATATATTTCCAAAGAAAAATAAGTTTTCTCAGCTGAAGAGGAAAGTTGACATGACACTTGACACGACCATATTTTGTCCTTTTTGAAGCAGGATAAAGAAAGGGATAAACGTACTGACAGAAGATACTGATCTAGATATAACCAAGGTGAAACTGGGTTTCTCTATAATTAGGGACTAGAAGGATCATGTGTGGAACAAAGGACTATTTGAATAATTCAAGGAATGACTTGATAGGAAAGGTAAACTATTCTAGTGCTTTTCACAGCATACATGGATTGCTTTATGCTAGTATGGCTGTCTGTGCTGTTTCTCATTGCCTCCACCTCTTCTGTTCTTGAAGTCAGACTCAATACAGGAAAAATCGCACTGCAAGGGATTCTTTTTATTAACTGTATTGAAAATGACATTTCTACGAGTACCTCTGAGAGTTTTCTCAAAATGCCTTAATACTTTGGATATGTACATGATACTATTTTTCTTCTGAGATCTGCTATGACCACTCTGCATCCTTTGTTAAACTTGCTCATAAACACTTTGGCAAATCTCTTTTTTTTTTTTTTTTTGGTCCAGTGTTATGGCTGTCATCTGAATTTATTAAACACAGAATTTGTTTTACTTTTTCATTTTGTTATATCTATGTTTATATAAGAAATTCTAAAATTCATCACATTTAATTTTATATTAGAATACATATCCTGTTTTGTCTTCTATGTTATAGTGTGTGAATGATTCACCCATGGAACATGTAATTTAAAACAACAGTTTATTCAGAGACAGCATGTTAAATGATGACTACTTGGAGATCTATGAGTATCACTCAGGGATAGAGTGCTTGCTTAGTACAGGCAAGGACCTAAATTCAATCTCAACCATGAGAGAGAGGAGCGAGAAAGGAGCAGGGAGTGGGAGGGAGAGGGAAAGAGAGGAAGGAGAGGGTAAGGGAGAAAGAGCATAAAATGAAGGGAGGAAAGAAAGAAAAAAGGAAGAAAGAAAATAAAGAAGGAAGACAGTGACAAAAGAGAAAGAAAAAGAGGGAGAGAGGAAAGAGAAAAAGAAAAGAAATAGAAAAAAGAAAGGAAAGAAAGAAAGTAAAGTCTTGATTTTGGCATCAGCAAATCTTGGTTTCAATTATTTTTATATCATTAGTTATTTGATACAGAATATGTTATTTAAACTTATTTATAATTGGGGCTGGGGATTTAGCTCAGCGGCATAAGCACCTGCCTTGCAAGCAGGCGGTCGTGAGTTCGATCCCTGGTACCAATAAAAATGAAAAAGACAAAAAAAAAAAAAAAAAACACAACTTATTTATAACTGATGAAACTCCTTTCTCTACCTAGAATCCTTGGAAGGTTTCATTAGGATTTAATGGTGTAAGAGAAATATCTAGCATATATGTTGTTTAATAAATATTAGGTCTCTTTCTTTAAATGATTAAAGGTTCAACATTATTTAAAAGAAAGAAAATCAGAAAAGAGAAGAGAAAAAATGTCTTTATAAAAACCAGTTTGGTAAACCTAAACATATTACTGAGTGGTGTCTATGGAACCACATTGTGTAGAATATCCTTAAGGATGTCCAAAAGCCTTATGACAGAAAAACAAAAATAAACTACAAATAAAAAATTCCAAAATCACTTTCTAGGTTGCTAGCTGTGAAACAAATTATGTAACAGAGGGGGATAAATAATTGTTTCTAAGATAAATATGATGCATGTGTTTCATTGGGCCACAATGTGTTTTAATTGTTTTTTTATCTTAAAGGGTATAAAATTAAGCACAACAAAACAGAACAAAGTAGGACATAAGAAAGCAATGTAAGAGATATAAATTTCAAAGCTAGACAACCTGAGATCTTCACTATCTATCATATTGTCTCATTTTCTTCCAAATAGTTGTCATGTCTTCACATACAGAGAATTCATACAAAACAACATAGTATAAAACTGATCCAAACAGAATGAGGAAGGCGTTTCAGGTCTTCAAAACCAGACAATAAGGAAGTCACTAATGGCTTTCTTAGAGTCTCTCATTCTCTTCAAAATATCTGTCCATATTTTCATGTATATTGAAGTTCAACAAAACAAAACAGGATGAGGGGAGGGGTTTCTTGGTTTTCCAGTGCTCCAGGTCCCAGCATGGCATGGGTCCCAGTAAACACAGGAGGCTCCCGTTCTGGGCTGCGCCAGCCTGCCACATTCACTGCTGCTCACAGAGGGTGTGGGGGTGGGTGGGGGGTGCTTGCTTCTAGCTGTTTCTTTCTAATGAATTGACTATTTCACTGCACAAGTTCTGAAATGGCCAACAGACCACAGAAGGACATCTTTTTAGGCTTCTGCTTGAAACCAACAGCAACAGGAAGCTGCTGGGCCTTGATCCAGGGTCAGTTTAATGTTTAAATTAATGGGCTGTACAATATTGAAAGAGAACACATTCAAAATATATTTTTCAACTTTCTCTTGGCTGTCTTGAGAACTGAGTTAGCCTCTTCCCGGCAGCAGTGGGCTACAGCTGGCTAAGGTCTGTCCCTTGAAATGTGTGGTTCACCTCCCAAGCATCCCTGCCAGCTGTTGCCAGTTCCTTCTTTTACAGGATCTGCACATTCTTCTATTCATCATGCTATCATAAAGGGTAAGCCAGAGCAGCAGAATTTCAGAAATATACTGATTTTTTTACTTTCCAGAATAAGCTGTAATATAAAGACAACAGATTTAAATTTAAGTAGTAATGGAGTCACCTGTATTAAAATAATAATAAATTGGTTGATCAAATATATATATAGGACTCCATTCTTTGCCTGTAATCCTTGAAAGGTTTCATCAGGATTTATGTGTATGTGTTTTGTGGCACTGAGGATTGAACCCAGGGCCTTCATATCCCATTTTTATTTTATTCTGACTTTATTTTCAATTTTGAGGCAGTATCTGTTACAGAGGCACTAAGCTGTACACAATGGTCTTGAATTTAATGTCCTCTTTCCTCTGCCTCCCAGAGTGAAGAGATTATAGATGTGCTGGGATTATAATGACCACGCCCAATTTATTTATTTATTTATTTATTTATTTATTTATTTTTGTCTTTTTCGTTTTTTATCGGTACCAGGGATTGAACTCACAACTGCCTGCTTGCAAGGCAGGAGCTTATGCCACTGAGCTAAATCCCCAGCCCCCCATGCCCAATTTAAATATATATATATATATATATATACACCCATACCTATACCTATACATATACATATACCTATATTTAAGTTAATTGTTTAGAAACGTCTGCAACAGCATTTTTTGCTGTTGCTTTTGTTTGATTGTTTTGTTTTTCTTTTCTCTTCTTTTAAGGCTTTAAATAAAAGATGGTATTGTTTGTGCCAGAATTTCAATTCCCTGTATGTTTGGATCTTTTTTTTCAATCTATATAAGTTCTTTGAAGTCCATCAGGCTTGTTTGCAGAGAACTCTTTGTGCAATTCAATCAGGTTAATTTCAATTTCAAGTGCAGAAGAGAGGCCTGATTTTCATCACTGCTTTATGAAGCTATGATGGATTGGCCAATGTACAGCTAGTAAGATTTCCAGTAAAGGCCAGCATCACTGCTACCCTAAGAAGCCTGTTAACTCATTAATAGACTTCAAGTCTCCAAATAATTTGCTTGCAAGTTTAACAACAGAGGAAATCTCCAGAGAAGCACACAGTACAGTGCACTTTGCAGTTTCATCTGCAAAGTTATCAGTATTAACATTCCTTTGATTTTAATCAGAAGTGCAAGGAAAAAGCCCATGTCTATAATATACAGACTTATAAATGCAAGAAATAAAAAATGTACATTTCTTGCTAAAAAACATATACTGTCCAGACATAATCCTATTTTTCTTAGACTATTTATATATACTTTATAGAAATCTCCTAGATAATAGGAGAAATAGCAGAAATAGAGGTGAAGATAGATGGTAAAAGGATTTGTCAGCCATGCTTTTGGCCCTCACCCCACACCTGATCCATAGCTCAATGAGCTTGAAAGCCGAGTATATGATAGTTAATATACTACAAAAAGAAAAATGCTGGTAGACAAGTCTCTGATAACACCCAAGACTTTCTACCAATCGAGGCAATGTAGTAACCTTTATAACAAGTTTAGGAAAACTTACCTACCTGGTAAATCTCTTCTATTCTTCTCTTGGTACCCAACCAAGAAGTCAGGTACCTCTGTTCACATCCTATGGCTTTGCTCATCCTCTAGTTGTTTTAATCTTCACTGTTAGTCTACACTCAGTGGAATCCAGCATTATTATAAGCAAGTTCTTCTGAATCTTCATCATCCTACCATATTTTGACATTCCCAAGAGGATAAAGATGCCCTGGAAGATGGGGCTGCATTTCCTTCTTTTGGTCTATTTCTGCCCCTACTGTAATATAACCTATTTTAAAACCTCTGCTGGAGCATGGAAAACTGATTGAAACCTTTAATGAACAATACAGAAAACAAGCAGAATTCATGAAACAAACTCAAAGAGACATCCAAAAAACAGAAAATTCTATTCAAAGCTGGCAAAACCATTTAAATGAAGCTGAGGATAGAATTTAGGACCTTGAGGACAAGATTACAAATAGCAATCATGAAAAGATAATACTTTTAAGAATAACAAAGCAGCATGAGATGACAATCCAGCAGCTTCAAGATGATGCCAACGGCAACAATATAAGATTAATAGGCATCAGTGAAGGTGCAAGAGTCAGTGCAAATGACATAATTAAAATATTCACAGAAGTAATAGCAAAAAGTTTCCCAAACATGGAGAAAAAAAAGCTGATATGCAGATAAGGGAGGCATATAGAATGCCAGTCACAACCAACATGAATCTATACCCAGAAATATAATAATTAAGATCTCAGATGTATAGCATAAAAATAGAACACTAAAAGCTGTTAGAGAAAAGACACAATTCCCCTATCAAGAAAAGCCCAATAGAATCACAGCAGACTTTTCAGCACAAACCCTCAAGACGAGCTTGGAGTGAGATATTTCAAACCCTGAAAGAAAACAACTTTCAACACAGACTGATGTACCCAGAAAAACTTTCATTCAAATTTAATGGAGAAACAAGATACTTCCATGACAAAGAACAACTGAAGAAATTCACGTGCACCAAACCAACCCTAGAAAGAATATTAAAAGTCATACTATATAGAGATAAAAATGACCACAATCTGCAGAACAACAACTGAAAGAAGCCACCAGGTAGGACAAGCAAATAAACAAGGGGGCAAAAGCAGAAAGCAAACAACTGGAACATAACATGACAAAGTGAAGCTAGTACACATAAGTGATATTCATAAATGTAAATGGCCTCAATTCACTTATCAAAAGAAATAGGTTGGCAGAATGGATCAAGAAACAAGAGCCCACAATATGCTGTATACAAGAAACACATCTGACTCAAAAGGAAACTCATAGATTAAAAGTCAAAGGATGGAGAACAGTATTCCATGTAGCAAGAACCCAGAAAAAAGCAGGGGTGGCTATTCTATTTGCAGACAACATGAACTTAAAATCTAAAATGATTAAACGAGATAAAGAAGGTCACTACAATATTTGTTATTGGAAAAATTAAAGAGGAAGAACTAACAATTATAAATATATATGCACCAAATACAGGAGGGACCCAACTACATAAGACAGACACTAATGGACATGAAAAGCCAAATACACAAGAACACAATTATAACAAGGAACCTTAACAGCCCATTGTCACAAAGAAATCCATCAACTAGAGAAAAAGTCAGCAAAGAAATAATAGAATTGAATCACATCCCGAGCAATTGGACTTAGTAGATGTTTACAAAGTGTTCCACCCAATCACATCAGAAGACATATTCTTCTTGGATGTGCATGGGACATTCTCCAAAACAGAACATATATTATCCCATAAAATATTCTTAAGTAACCATAAAGGTATTGAAATTACCCCATGCATGATATCTGACCATAGTACGTTGAAATTGGAAATTAATGGCAAAAGAAATTGCAAAATCTGCATAAATATATGTAATTTAAATAATAACCTTTTGAACAACCAGTGGGCTACAGATGAAATTAAGGAAGAAATAAAGCAATACTTACAATTCAATGAAAATGCAGAAACAACATACTGCACTCAGTGGGATGCAATGAAAGCGGTCTTAAGAGAGAAATATATAGCAATAAATTCTCATCAAGAAAACAGAATGAGCACAAATAAACAACCTAATGCTTCATCTCAACCTTCTAGAAAAGAAAGAGTAAGTTAAACCCAAAGCTCATAGAAGAGAGGAAGTTGTAAAGATTAGAGCAGAAATCAATGCAATTGAAACTAAAAGAAAAAACATTACAATGAATTAATGAAACAAAAAGATGTTTTTTTGAGAGAATAAACAAAATTGACAAATCTATAGCTAACCTTATCAAGAAAAAGAAAGAAAAAACCCAAATTCACACAAAAAGGACTGAAAAGGGGGAAATTAGGACAGATCCCATGGAAATTCAGAAGTTCATAAATACTTACTTTGAAAATCTCTACTCACATACAGTGGAAAACAGAGAAGAAATGGGCAGATTTCTAGGATCACATGAACTACCAAAGCACAGCCAAGAAGATGTAGCAACTTTGAATAACCCAATATCAGCTACTGAAATTGAAAATATAATTAAAAACTTACCAACAAAGAAAAGTCCAGGTCCTGATGGATTCACAGTGAAGTCCACAAGAAATTTAGGGAAGATTTGATGCCAATACCCCCTAAACTCTTCAGTGAATTTGAAAAGGAAGTAATCCTCCCTAAATCATTTGTAGAGGCAAGTGTTACCCTGATACCAATACCAGAGAAAGACTCACCCAAAAAGGAGAACTATAGGCAAATCTCACTAATGAACATTGATGCAAAAATTATCAAAAAAAGGTTCTCTGGCAAATAGAATGCAGCAAATAATCAAGAATATTGTACATCATGACCAAGTGGGATTCATCCCAGGAATGCACGTATGATTTACAATACACAAATCAATAAATGTAATACACCATATCAACAAAGCCAAAAGCAAAAACCACAAGATCATTTCAATAGATGCAGATAGAGCTTATGATAAAGTCCAACACATGTTCATGATAAAAGCCCTTCATAAACTTGGAAAACATGGTGTCTACTTCAGTCTTATAAAGGTCATCCATGACAAACCAACAACCAACATTATACTAAACTGGAAAAAACTGAAAGCTTTCACTTTAAAATCAAGAACCAGACAAGGACGTCCACTATCACCACTCCTATTCAATATGGTTCTGGAAAAACTAACCAGAGCAATCAGACAAGAGAGAGAAATAAAAGAAATAAAGATAGGAAAGGACGAAGTTAAATTAT